ACATTTATGTATAATTTAGTATTCATTCTCAAATATCAGTACCTTGATCTTCAAAAAAATTAAATGCTGCTATACAATCTGTCAAATATTCAATGCAAATTATCTTGTATAATCTATATACAAAGTTATATACAGTATATATTCATGCCCAGCTAATAAACATTCCTTATAAATTTATTCATTGATTCATTAAAAAAACCAAGTGAATAATTCTTACTTTCGTCACCCTCTGCTGTCTGTAAAACTATTATTCCATTTATTTTCACACATTTTTTACTTCCATCACATACTGTTTATGTTTAACAACCAATTTTCCTACCCATGCAAAATATTTGTATGGGTGGTAAGTTATATTTAGAGCTCAGTGAGAGTTAAATGTAAATTTAATATTAAATTTAGAATTAAGGATAGTTTATATGGTTAATTGTAGGTAAATCTTGGGATTTATGCAGTGGTGGGATTCAAATATGTGAACAACCAGTTCTCTGTGTGGATGCCACTTCCAGAAGTCCATTCTGGGTCTGGGCAACAAAAAATTAGCTACCGGTTCTGCTGAACTGGTGCAAACTGGCTGAATCCCACCACTGGATTTATGGTTAGGAAAATATTTGTGTTGGAACTACAGTTACATTAGGTTAAATTAGAATTAATATATTTTGGTTAGATGTAGAGTTAGGGTTCTCATTAGGATTGATTTTTATGGCTACTGATCATCTTAAATTCACATTACAAATAAGATCTAGGGTAGTTAGTGTAGATATTTCTTTTGAGTTAGCCTTAATCTAGAACTAAATTTTTCAATAAACTTCCATTGTCAGATTCATGCATTGCTCAGTGATTTACTAATGACCATAAATATAATTTATGTACAACCTATCTGGTATGTGTTTCATCAACAATTTTTTATACAGATTGTTCTTAACTTATAACAATTCATTTAGTGACTGTTCAAAATTACAGTGGCACTGACTTAGACCATTTTTCATATGTATGACCAATTCAGCATCCCCATGGTCATGTGATCAAAATTCAGACACTTGGCAACTGACTCATATTTATAATGGTTATGACCCCCATATTATGATGTGGGTCATGTAAATCTCCTTTTGCAACCTTCTGACAAGCAAAGTCAATGAGGAAGCTAGATTCATTTAACAACTGTGTTACTAACTTAACATTTGCAGTGATTCACTTAACAGCTGTGGCAAGAAAAGTCATAAAATGGAGCAAAATTCACTTAACAAATGTCTCACTTAGTAACAGAAATGTTGGGCTCAATTGTAGTAATAAGTCAAGACCTACCTGTAAATATTTATAGCAGTTATTTTCATATCAGTCTTCCAATGCCACTATTGTTCCTATACCTCTAAAGGTCTCCTTCCAGCATTTTCTCATTTTAGTTTCCTCCCAAATCATTTCACCGCTTTTAAATTGTGCTAGAGATTCCTTTTTAAAATTCTTTACCCATTTCCAAAATAAAATTTAATTTCCATCAAAATGTCTTTCAGTATTCTTTATTTTAATTTTAACCATATTTTTCTTTCTTTGTCTATGATCTGCCTGTACATGTTTTTCGAACTTGGCAACTTTAAGATTCTGCCTGGGGAATTCTGGGAGTCGAAGTCTACTTATCTAAAAGTTGCCAAGTTTGAAAACCTTTCTCTATACATACAATACTTTTTCCTTGCCTTCAGCTTGTTTCTTTACTAGTGCAATTGTCTGTCTATTCATCCATCGAGCCACCTACCTACCTACCAACCAGCCATCTGATTTATGTGCTGTCCATTTTGATGGTATTTCCATCCTCTTTCTTTTCCTCCTTTCCATTCATTCTGCTTGGAAGATTGCTCTTGCATTTCTCTTTCTTGCTTTTTTTCCATATGAGTTTTTTTGCCAATTCCACTCTTCACATTACTAAAAACTGACAGTCCCACATTAAGATGTTTTCATCACCATTGAATTCTTCACTAATTGTCTTTCATCATAAACAATCCAATAATACCTTCAGATACATTCCTTTGCATGAATTTATATGAATAGTCAGATATTTATGCCTTGTACTCAAAACAAGCAGACTATTTTTGGAACAGGTATTCACCAACCATAATCCTTGACTCTTCAAATAGCCCGATTTCTTTTTGTATATTTTTCCATCATGTCCTACACCAGTGGTTCTCAACCTTTTTAATGCCGCGACCCCAACCGGTCGTAAGTCGAGGACTAAACCGGTCGTAAGTCGAGGACTAAACCGGTCGTAAGTCGAGGACTACCCAACCGGTCGTAAGTCGAGGATTTTCCCTGCCCGGGAGCTCCGCGCATGCGTGGTTCCGTCCCCTGCGCTGGCCGAGGCATAGCTGGCAAGCGGCAGAGACGGAGCAGGCCGACCACCAGCTGGCCCAGCCCAAGGGAGGTAAGGCACCCGCCCAAAAAGGGGAAAAAATGGCGGACAAAAAAAATGGCGGACAAAAAAATGGCGGACAGCCTTGCTTGGCGACCCCCATGAAATGGTCGATCGACCCCAAATGGGGTCCCGACCCACAGGTTGAGAACCACTGTCCTACACACTATTCATGACACATAATGGAATAATTTTTCCCTTGTTTCACATTCATTAAGAATGTTGTACTGTGTTTTCCCAAATCATACTTTGTTCTTATCACTATTCATTAGATTGTTGTAGGTATGAATTCTACCTACATTCTACATCTAGAACAATCTTTATGATATCAATTCAGACTTGAATACATACATCAATTTACCTCTTTCATTTATAATTAATCATAAAGTTTTCATCTGCTTTTATTTATTAACTCCATCTCCCTCATAGAAAAAAGGTTTGGTTGTCATCTGAATTAATCATAGCATGCCAAATCAGTATCTCTTGCTCACAATACGGCAATACTGAACAATTTAGACACATGTAGACCAATACAGGTGGTCCTCAACTTGCAACCATTTGATTAGGGACCATTTGAAATTACAACAGCACTGAAAAAAAGTGACTTATGACCATTTTTCACACTTACAACCACTGTATCAATTGTTATGGTCACATGATCAAAATTCAAATGCTTGGCAATTGGCATATATTTATGATCGTTTCAGTGTCCCAGGATCGTGTAACCACCTTTTGAGACCTTTTGACAAATAAAGTCATTGGAAAAACCATATTCACTTCTTCACAACCATATTACTAACTTAATAAATGCGGTGATTGATTTAACAACTGTAACAAGAAATGTAAAATGGGGTAAAACTCATTTAACAACTGTCTTATATAGCAATGGAAATTTTGGACTCAATTGTTGTCATAGGCTGAGGACTACCTGTATGCCACAACATAACAAAATCCAGTTTTGCCACAGGATGCTGACACTCTGCTAGGCAAGCTAGACTCTCAATTTTGGAGGCTTGCTTGTAAGCCAGCATCTCAACATCATCAACTTGGAGACATATACACTATTCTAGATAGGCACACACTCAGGATATAGCATATAATGTGATTTTACATTTTGTTATGCTATTTTATAACTAGAAGAATATCACTTACTTTATTCATTTTGCTATTGATAAAATAATAAACTAAATAAATCTGACATTCATCTTTCCTCTGTAATTTCATTATAGAAGAACAAATTTTTTAAAAAATGAAATTACAGCCAAATGTCTCTTTTCTGACCCATGATAAAATGTTGACAGAAACATTTTACACTTGAAACTATAAATCTACAGATCTAAATAAAAATATGCATGAGCAGTAGGCCAGTGTAGATAGAAGTCTGATTTAAGCTATGAAATTCATTTTAAAAAATAGGTAAGGCTGAAAAAGGAACAAAAATTGAATAGAAGTTCACGTGTTTTTGTACATTTTGACAGATAACATCAATGTTTGATCTATATATGTATTTTTCATTTGATGTCTTCAAGAATTTTAATTCAGATTTACATTTAAGCTTTCATATTTTATCTTCTGTTTATGATGTATAATCTAAATGCTAGACTGGATATTGTTTAACCTGATCTGCAAATGTGTAGAGCTTTGTATTGTATATGATTATGTGTAAATAAATCTGGAGACAAAATTGCAGGTAGGCCTCAACTTACAACAGTTCGCTTAGTGAACATTCGAAGTTACAACGGCACTGAAAAAAGTGACTTATGACAGTTTTTCACACTTATGGCCATTGCAGCATTCCCACGGTCATGCGATTTACATTCAGATGCTTGACAACTGACTCACATTCAGATGCTTGACAACTGACCTTCTGATAAGCAAAGTCAATGGGGAAACCAGATTCACTTAGCAGTGGTGTTACTAATTTAACAACTGCCATGATTCACTTAACAAATGTGGCAAGAAAAGTCATAAAATGGGCAAACTCACTTAACAAATTTTTCACTTAGCAACATAAATTTTGGGCTCAATTGTGGTCGTAGGTTGAGGACTACCTATAGTGGAGAGATGGCTAATTTATTTTCCACAGAAGTTGGTGTGCTTCAGTTCCCAGTATCCTTGTAATTGTCTATGCTGAACAGAGATGATGGGAATTGGAATTCAACAAAAACTGGAGATTCGTGTGGTGTTTATCTCTGGACTAAACTGTTGAAATATCAACTTGTTCTAAATCCTTTTTCGTGTTGTGCAAGAGAATGACACATGGACAGGATTTGTAGTAGTAATAGCTTTAGTTTCCAGTGTTTCTTCTGCAGTTTATATTTTGAAAAATATCTTGTACCGGTTTTACAAATTAGCAAACAACAAATAAAGTTGAAGGACCTGCAGCTCAGAGTTAGCCCAAGATGCTTCTTCATGTGGGTTGCTTCTCTCTGTATGGAGGGAATGGCTGCTTTGAGGGGGTGGATTTAAAGATAGAAGGATGCTTTGCAAAGTTATTGCTAAGAAGTCTCCTGAGGGATGGTCTGGCCTTTTAGCTGAATTACGATCCTACTTTTCTAAATAATAATGTATTAACCAGCAATATTCTGTTTCAATTCAGAATACGCTGTATTTAATGAAAACGGCAAAGATCAGAACATCATTAGACAAAGTGAGAGCCTCGGAACAAAAACAACTGAATTCATGCGAACTAATTTATAAAGCAAGTATGAAAAATTTTCTATGTTTTCATTTCTAACAGTTAAAAGTTAAAATGTTTTGGGAGGGTCTAGAAATTTTCAAACCTCCTTCTCACCTCCTGCCTGCGATTCTTGAGGGACTTTGTGTTAACATTTTCTCATTCTTGCGGTGATTGTTTCTACTTATGCTTTTTATAAGAGAGATCATATTACTGCTACGAATGTAGGCAGTATATCCCTTAATCATAAGTAAGCTTCAGTAACATGCATACTTTTGCAATGCAAATAAATATAAATTTGATACTTGCAGCTTCATTGTTTATATTAAGATTCCTTAGGCAAAAGGAACATATTGAATGATTAAAATGAGGTGAACATATTGGTTCCAATGCTGCTGGACATATTTGTTGCCTCCGAGCAAATTTCCCAAAAGGTAGAATTCTTTCTCTTAGGAGACCATCCAAGAAAATATTCCTAAATCAGCAAGATTCAGATATAAACATATTTACACGCCACTCCCCCAGAAAAAAAAAGTTCTTATGACAGAATCTTGTTGGACATCTCTCCAAAACCAACAATTTAATGGCCACACTAGATACCCATAAAAAATTGATTATATTGTATAATGACTGAACTGACATGCCATTAAATCGATGGGCAGGCTTGGTGTTACTAGCTGATGTTTGCTAGTTATGCTTAATTTTTTCTTTTCAACAACTTTCTCTTGATCTTTTTAGGAATAGAGATGTGATTTTCAATTCAGAACATCAACCTTATTAAATTTGATGTACTTATTTGGATTTTTCAGAGTTATATTTGTCTTGGGCAAATATTTTATTTTGGTGATCTTTTGCTAAGAAAAGCAAAATATGCTGGTTTTTTGCGTTTTAATGAATGTATTTATTTTATTTATTAAATTTATAATGCAATATATATATATATATATATCTGCTACACCATCTAAAAATTACTTCCAAGGCCTTAAGTCATATATGTGATTCTTTTTTTTATGTATTTGTGTATTATTGCATAGACATGTACACCCTGATAATATTGCGTGTGTTTGATGCTCACAATAAGACTTTGATTCTTGGTGATACTAAATTTGTGTGTATATGTATAAGTGTATACACACATACAGATAAGATAGATATACTTATATACAAATAAACATACACATTCATATACATATATGCAATTGCCTGTAGTAGAATCTGGTTGCTTGGTCATTGATCAGATTGTATATTGCCTGCCCTGTTCTGGTGGGGTTGGCATGCTGAGCAGATTTCCTTCTTTCAGTTCTCTTCTGCCAAACTGAGATAATAACACACCTGGGGCAAGAGTGGTGGTTATATTTTCTTCTTAGTCTGCTAAAGCTTAGAAGGGAAAGCCCTTTAAGGAAATAGGGGAAACAATGGGAGTTTGGCAGTGGAAAGCTATGCATGAGAAGGCCAGTAAATGAAACAAGGGAAAATACAGGCAGACAAAACAGAAAATAAAAAGCCTAATGAACAACAAGCCAGAAAAAATATGAGATATGTATAAAACAGAGAAGAAAAACAAACAAACCTGTTCCAGTATTATGTATGTAAGCTACGACCATTTCATATGTGTAAACCTGAAAATATATTCTTTCCTTGTATGGATAGATATATTTATATATATTCAAGGCTCTATGTAGATTCCAAATAAAGAAAACACTTTTATTTTATTTTATTTAAAGTATTTTATTAGTTTTCTATCATTACAATTCATTTGTGCCTAATGAACAACGTGTTGTCTGGGTTGATTTTTGCTTAGTCATAAAGGTTGAGTTCTTATTCTCTATCTCGTTTTTACAACCATTGATAAAATAAGTTCCATGTTTGAAAGTATTCTGTATCTTCTTTTTCTATAATTCTCAATGTAAATCTATCCATTTCCACACAGTCCAGTATTTTCTTAATTATTGCTTCCTCCGATGGAGTTATCTTATTTTTCAAGTGCTATGCAAATACAATCATCACTGCTGTTAATATGTGTAGTGTTAAATATACATTTTGTTTATCATTTTTTTCTGGAATTATGCCTCATAAAAAAAATTCAGGTTTAAAATCTATATGGCTCCGTAACATCTTTTCTAACCAAGTATGTGTTTTTGTCCAAATTTTTTTTGCTTTAACACATGTTCACCACAAGTGATAAAATGTACCGGGATTTTGATTATATTTCCAACATTTACTAGACATATTTTTAAACATTTTTGCTAATCTAACAGGTGGAAAATGCCATCTGTATTGTTAATAGCCATCCTGAGATTTTTGTATATATTTTTGGTTTTATTTTTTCCCATACAGATAATAATGCGTTTCTTATGTAATGGTTTTGAAAGTTAATGTTAATGTTAATGTTAATTTAATTTGTATACCGCCCTTCTCCCGTAGGACTCAGGGCGGTTCACAGCATATTAAAAACACAAATACAATATACAGGATACAAAAAAAGTATGTTTTTATGTGTTTTATTGGGGTGATTTTGGATTAATTTTCGGTTTATAACTAACGACACAAGGGTAATTTTAATGAAAAAATTTTTGCAGGGATGGATTTTAGGGATGGATTTTAGGAGGGATCCAGTCCGGGCGAACGACCTTTTCGGTACAGAACTCCCGCGCCGCCTTTCATTCCTCTAGGCCTATCATCTATGGGTTTTATTCTTTTCATACCATAAAAATGTGTGCCACCCAAGTTGTAAGTCATTCCTTCTAAATATAACAACCTTTTGTTTCTGAGGCTTATCCATTCTTTTAGCCATGTTAGAGCACGTGCTTGGTAGTATAGGACCCAATCTGGTAGTCCAAATCCTCCATTTTCTTTGGCTTCTTGTAGCATTTTCAGATTAATTCTGGCTTTCCTTCCTTGCCAAATAAATTTCAAGATCAATCTATTCAAATCATCAAAAAACTTTTTTTCCTATTTTTATAGATACTGTTTGGTATAAAAAAAGAAGTTTTGGTAAAATATTCATTTTCACAGTAGCTATTCTTCCTAGCACTGATAATTGTAGGTTTTTCCATTTTTCCAAGTCTATTTTTATTTGACTTAGTAATTTTATGTAATTATCTTTTTTATCATTGCACATCTTCCTGTTAAGTATATTCCCAAGTATTTAACTTTCTTAAATATTTGTAAGTCGGTTTTTCCTAACAGTTGTGTTTTTTGCTTATCTGTAAGGTTTTTAAGTTAACTTTGGTTTTTTTGTCTGTTTATTTTCAATCCTGCTATTTCTCCAAATTCTTCTATCTTTTTCAATAATTTGGACGTTGTCTCCAACGGTTCTTCTAGAATAAATACCAAGTTATCTACAAATGCTTGTAGTTTATAGCTTTCATCTTTTATCTTCATTCCTTTAATTTCTGGATCTTTTCTGATATTCCTGTTGAGATCTTCCAACATTAGTATGAATAGCAGTGGAAATAGTAGACATCCTTGTCTTGTGCCTTTCTTTATATTAAAGTTTTCCGTATAGTCTCCATTGACAATTACTTTTGCTGTTTGTTTATCATATATTGTCTTAATAGTTTTATGAACTTTTCTCCATACAATTTAATAGTTGTATCATAAATTGCCAACTTACATTATCAAAAGCTTTTTGAGTGTCTAGCAAAATTAGAGCCATTTGTTTTCCAGGATGCATTTCATAGTATTCCAGTGTATCTAAAATAATCCTCAAGTTATTTTTTATTTGTCTTTTTGATAAAAATCCATTTTGATCTGGATGGATAAATTCAGTCAAGAATCTTTTCAATCTCTCTGCTATTATTGAAGTGAAGATTTTATAATCCACATTTAATAATGATATTGGTATATAATTTTTTTATCTGTGTTAAATCTGAATCTTCTTTTGTTATTAAAGTAATATTTGCTTCTTTCCCTGTGTTTGGTAATTTGGCCTCTAATAATAACTCATTGCACACTTCTTTCATTGGTAGGCTTACTATATCTTGTAAACATTTGTAGACCTCTGCAGATAGTTCATCCAGTCCTGGGTTGTTTTTTTTCATTTTTCTATTTTTTTATATCTTCTGTCACTTCCATCATTATAATTTTTTCATTTAGTATATTTTTCAGGTTCTCTGGAATTTTTGGTAAATTAGCCTTTTCCAGATATTGTATTATTTTTTCCCCAAGAAATTTCTTCTCTATCATATAATTTTTCATAAAATTCTTTAACTATTTTTTTTATTACATCAGTTTGAAATTGTAAACTGCCCTTCTCATCTTGTAATTTATTTATCAATTTTGTTCTCTCTTTTTTCAGTTTAAGTTTTGTTTTGCCCTTTTAATTTGTTGAGTCAATTCCTCTGACTCTATTAGGTTTAGTTTGTGCTTTATTGTCTCCATTTGGCTCCAGTTTTCTTTTGTGGATGTATTTGTAATTCTGACTCCAGTTTCTTAAATTCTTCCCTTAATGTTGTAAATTCCTAAATTTACATTGATTGAATTGATTGAAAGTCCATCTTGGTTTCTTCTTTACCTCTTTCCAAGTCAGCTTTATAAGATTATGGTCCGCCCAAATGTTAGATTCTACCTCAATTTCATATATATTAGTTCTTAGCTCAGAGGACATCCATATCATATCAATTCTAGACCAAGATTTATGTCTATTTGAATAAAATGTATACTGGGTCTTTTTTTTTTGAGTTTCTTTCTCTCCAAGTATCTTCTTTCATTCTAAAGAACACCTTAAGGAGTATCTTTCGTCCCTTTTTTCCTGTTTTACTGTTTCTATAGTCCAATTTTCTGTCTACATTTGCATTAAAATCTCCTATCAAGCAAATGTTTTGATGTTCCATTTCCAATATTTTTCTGTATAATTTTTGAAAAATTCTTCTTGTTTGTTATTTGGTGCATATATTACTACCATCAATATCTGTTTTTGATTTATCAAGGCTTCTGGTTTTCATCATGGTGATGTAGCCGAAGGAAAGCGGCACTCCGCTTCCCATGGCTGACTTCCCCCTGCCAGGAGGCCCTAAAGGGGTCTAA